CCACCCTGGGGACCCTGTGTGGCCACCTCGTGCCCCTCAGGGCCTCCGTCAAGTGCACTGTGAGCTCAGCTCCACCCTGGGGACCCTGTGTGGCCTCCTCGTGCCCCTCAGGGCCTCTGTCAAGTGTGCTGTGAGCTCAACTCCACCCTGGAGACCCTGTGTGGCCTCCTCGTGCCCCTCAGGGCCTCCGTCAAGTGCACTGTGAGCTCAGCTCCACCCTGGGGACCCTGTGTGGCCTCCTCGTGCCCCTCGGGGCCTCTGTCAAGTGCACTGTGAGCTCAGCTCCATGATGGCAACAGTGAGGACACAGCAGGACGAAGAAAAGGCCCCTTCATGATAACCTCCTGCATTGCTTTTGCTTTGCCTGCAAAAAGATAGCATCTTGTATTGAAAAACTAAAAGCCAGTCTCAGTGCCCTAAAATGAATGCGGCTCCCGGAGCCTCCGCGGGTTCCTGAAGCTGAAAGACAGCCGTAAAGCTTCCAGGGAGCGGCCTGTGTCACCTCCTCCCACAGAGCGGCTGAGGGGTCCCAGCTGCTCACCTTTCAGTCGGCACATGAACCTGGAACGCGTCTCTCAGGCACCTTTAGACTGAGGACGTAGGTTAGAGACCTGCAGAGGAGCTGCCCGGAGAGACTGGGCTCCTGGCCAGCGCTCACCTCGGCCTCAGGTGGGTTCCTGAATCGAAGGGGAGTTTTCACGAGGGAAGAACTCCAGGCCTGGCCATGGCTTACCTGTCCACGGTGGGCTGAAATGTCCTTCAGTGACTGCTCTTTCGTAAGGGAGGATTCTGCCCATCTGACACCATCGTGGTTGGCAGTTGAAGAGCTAGATGTGGGAGATTTAAATATTTAGCTTCTCTTGCAAATTCCTAACTAAATTATAACAGCAGACTAGTGAAATCTTGAAACCAGCCAGCCCCACTGTAGTCACCAGGTAGGTCCTGGATCCCACAGGTCAGCAGGGAAGGAAGGAAGGAAAAAGCCCTTTGGAAATGAGCCTTAGCGGGGGCTCAAGCCGTGTGCTAAACCAGACCCTGCCATCTGCTCGACTCAGCCTCACAGAGGCCTGCGGTGGCGGGGAAAGGCCCGTGGGTTTGCAGGGCAGGCTCTGGGGAGGCGGAAACAGCCTGTAGGTTTGAAGCTTGAGTCCTGGGATAGTGGGGAAAGGCCTGTGGGTTTGCAGGGCAGGCCCTGGGATGGTAGGGTACAGCCTACGGATTTGCCGGGCAGGCCCTGGGGTGGCAGGAACAGCATGTGGGTTTGCAGGATGGGCCCCGGGGTGGCAAGAACAGCCCGGGGGTTTGCTGAGCAGGCCCTGGGATGGTGGGAACAGCCCGTGGATTTGCAGGGCAGGTCCTGGTGTGGCAAAAATAGTCCACCATGGGTTTTCAGGGCAGGCCCTGGGGTGGCGAGAACAGCTCATAGGTATTTAGGGCGGGCTCTGGGATGGTGGGGAAAGGCCTCTGGGTTTGCAGGGCGGGCTCTAGGGTGTTTAGAAAGTCTGTGGGTTTGCAGGATGGGCCCTGGGGTGTTGAGAACGGCCATGGGTTTGAAGGGCAGGGCCTGGGGTCTTGAGAACAGCCTGTGGGTTTGCAGGGCATTAGGTCTTTGCAGAAGCACGCTGCCTCCTCATCTTGGGCCCATGAGGCAGCTGGTGAGTTCCACAGCCCCGTGTCCGGAGCAGCCCCGTGTCCAGAGCAGCCCCACGTCCAGAGCTGCAGAGCACTTCCCCATCCGAGGTCCCCAGATAGTGGTATCCACTCTCTGAAGTGCTCCTCAGTGAGCCGAGCACAGTCAGTCTTGTGGTGACTCTGTCGGGGTCTGGAGTCATTGCCTAAGGAGCGACTGGTGGGCTCGATCCAGTGACCTTTAGGTTAGAAGCTAAGCATGGAACGCACCAGGAGAGGAGGGCTCCCTCCCACTTATGAGGATTTTCCCCTTTCCTTGAACAGGCATTTAACAAAAACAACTTGATCCTTGAGGAAAGAAACAAGTACTTCAACCCGCACCTCACCGGGAAGACCTACTCCAACGCCTACTTCTCGGATCTCAACAACTACGATGAGTACTAGGCCGCAGGCCCCATCGGCTCCTCGCGTCCACGTCCACTGGAGACATGTCAGTGCATCTCACGCCTCAAGCGTCTCATCGCTGCAAACATCGCACCTTTTACCAGCTCCGCCAGCCCGAGTGTGACTCCTGAAGACGTGGTCCCCTTTCAGCGTCGAGCGAGCCAGTGTGCAGTGTGTGTGTGTGTGTGTGTGTGTTGTGTGCAGCCCATTTCTCTAGCAGGCTGATGGTTTTTTGAGCTTTCTCATAAGCGCACCACCCCTTTGGAGAAGACCTTTATAAATATGAAGTCTCCGTGCTTCAAAGCTTATACGTTCCGGAGAGTTTTGTTTGAGAAAGGGGACCCACCCACCCACCCAGCAAAGAGGGCATCAGTAGGTCCACAGTATTGGAGCAAATGAAGAAGTGAAGGCAGTCCGGGCTCTTCCTCACAGGTCCCCACACCCACCCGAGGCGTGATGTGGAGTTCTGGAAGCAGCCCATGTGTGCTGGCCTGGGGTGCCTCCTTCCCAGACAGGCAAGACCTGGCTGACCTGCACAAAGGTGAGGCAGTGTCTGGTTAAGTCACCCAGCAAGCTGTCCCTGGGTGAGCAGCACACAGAGGACAGCCCGTCAGTGTGTTCTCCGGGAGGTGGTGGACCCGCCTTCGGACCTCTCCAGACCTAACCCGGTTCCAGAGCTGCCCACCCAGACACACATCTGTCTGGTTCCCCTAACACCAACAACAGTCTCTGAAATGCACGGTGCCCCTTCCCACTACGTGGAATCTGAGAAGCCTCTGTCTCCCCTCTCTCCCCCCACAAAGAAAATTGCTGACCATGGCTGACACCAAGTAGAGGAACGCTGAAAAATCCTGAAATAGCATCAAATCAGTGTTTTCCTAGCCACGTTGTGGGAAAATTGGAAGAACTGAAATGTAATGGAAAGCAGTGATTTCTCCTTCATTCTCCTTATGGCACTAAAGCAGGGCTCTGAGAGGGACCCCAGGACACTGTTGGGGGTCCCCGGATGGACACTGGCTGGCTGTGGCCTGTCACCAGGCGTAAGACATGCTGTTCAAGTGCCATGTGCCATTTCTGCCTCCTGGATGGAGAGGAGGTAACAGGTACCATATGGCCCATGTTCCCGTGGACGTCCTCACCCCCTTCCACCCACACGTCCCTCACACTGCGCCCTCTGCATTTTGGGGAGCTCTCTGAGAAGTCAGAAAGTTGAAAGTGCGGTTTGCAGCTATCCCTGTGGTGAGGAGCATAATTCACGGATAAAATCAACACTTCAGAGCGTTTCCACGGTGCTCACGGAGCTTCCCGAAGCAAGAACGATCAATCACACGCCGCTGATATATAGCACACGACAGTCAGGTGAATAATTACTGAAAGTCGGGATAAGATTGGAAATGTGCGCGGGTGCCTCTGAGAACCGCAGCATCGCTGATTTAGGGCTGGGTAGACGTGACGGCTTGCTCTTGCTGATAAGAGACGGAGAAGCCACTGTCCTGTGCAGCTTGCAAACACTGTCACAAACTGTTGGGGAGATGCTGGGATCCAGGAGTGAGACGCGCTGAGCTCAGAACACCCTTCTCTGCCCGTTCTTTGTAAGAACCAGCCTGTGTTAACACTAAGATGGTGGTGGACACTGGCAGGTCCTGAACATGGAAATGATGGCATCAGGGGCCCTCGGCTGCACCCCTGCCCTTGTCCTTGGAGCGAGGTGGGAGGAGGCTGCTTGGCTGTGTCCCATACTCACATCACCTGCCGTGGTGGACCTCACCCTGGGCCCCCCATTGTTTCAGGGCTGGATGTCCACCAGCCACACTGACCCGCGCTAACTTCCTGTGAGAAAGGAAAGTCTCAGCTGATTTATGCTCAGCCCCTTCCAGAAATGTCCTATGCTTAAAAGGTGATTGTGTTTCTTCCAGGAACAGGGATGCTAGTATTTCAAGAAATCTAACCTGGGCGTGATGGAAAATTCTGTCTAAATAACATCCCAGCTGCTCTCTTCATCAGTCCTGTGCAGTGGCTGGAACCACCATACCCCCAACTACATACAGAGACGGGGAAGAGAGGAGAGGAGAGGCAGAGGGAGGGGAGAGGGGAGGGGAGGGGAGGGGAAGGGAGAGAGAGAATTCTTGTGTCCAAAATAGAAATCTTTGCATCTGTCTTCATCCTAAAGCCCCTCAGTGTCGATCCTTGACATTCTAGTCAAAGGAACTTGTTCTCCGGCCTCCTGGTCCCCCCCCCCCCCTCCCCTCCGTCTCTCTCCCTCTCTCTCTCTCTCCCCCTCCCTCTCTCTGCCCCTCCCTCTCTCTCCCCCTCAGTCTCACCAGCTGAAGTCATACTACACATTTTCCCCCTGTGAATATGTTCTCCCTCTTTCCCACCTTCTTTTCATTCCTTTCTCCCTCCCTCCCTCCCTCCCTCCTGCATTGAACAGAAAGGTTTAGAATATTTTGCCTCAGTAGTGAGAATGGGTAAGAGGGCCACCAGCCACTCCATGGGAGCGTGACACAGCGGTTTGCTGGCGTCCAGTCACAGCCTAGCAGGTCTCGTGGGGCCAGCCGCGTCCTGGGCGGCCAGCAGGGTGGCTGTGGGTTGGGGTGGAGGTGGCAGGCAGGCGCCAGGTGTCTGGAGCGGCTGTGAGCTCACACCTTGGCCCTCATAGCCGTGGGGCTGTTGCACACTTGTTTATGTACACACGTGTCCCCATTGTGTAGACCCTCATGTTACAAATACATGTGCACGTCACCCCCACGTGCGTCCCCGTGGAACACGCCTTCACGTGGAGGGCTCCCCAGCAGTGTCTGCCACTCCGTGGCCATGGCCGTGACCTTCTGAAAGCAGCCCACACAAGGGTCAAGGCTGATGTTCAAGGTTCCCACACAAACCTTGCCACGCTCTATATTTCTGACTCTTTCATTCTCTTTCTTTTCTTTCACTTTTCCCTTTTAATACAAGAGGCAACATTTAAAATAATTGTAAGGATGTGCTATGTAAGCAGTAAGAAGCTGCACTACGATCCCAGAGGTCCTCGGTTCGAATCCACCATCTTCTGTGGGAGAAGCATGGGTGATCTCCTCTCACGTGATTCACTGCCTCTGAAAACCCACTGGAGAGTCGTCTGAGGGTCGGTTCCACTCCGTGCATTCGCGCGCGCGCACACACACACACACATACACACATACACACAAGCTCTGGGATGGCTGTGAATTAGAACAGACTCAGCTGCCCTGGAAGAGGCCCCCTCCTGAGCTCTGATTATGTCCCCGAGAGGCTCTCGTCTCATGTGTGATCTCTGAAGGCAGCTCCTGGACAGCTCCCGGGCCTCCCTGGACCAGTCACCATCAGAAACCACTTTGCCCTCACTGTTAAAGTCCCAGTGGAAGGAGGGGACAGGCACCCCTGTGGCTTTCCCACGCCGCAGTGGGGACCGTGACGATGCCATGAGGGGGAGGTGACCACTCAGACACAAGCCTGGCCGAGCTGAGGAGGTGTGGGGTACAGGGTCCGATTCCGGACGGGACGGCGGGAGGCTCAGAGGCATTTGATCGGCCCCGTTTCCTGCAGGCTTCTCTGTCCTTCCCCACCTCTGAGGCCTGGCCTGAGGGTCTGGGTGACCCTTCTACAGCGATGAGCCCAGAGTCTTTGCTGCAGGTCGGAGTTAGCACGAGCCTCACAGGACAGGGTTTGGGGCGCGTGGTGGTCAAAGCTGTTGGCAGAATTGAAGATGATGGCAGGGCCTAAGGCCACGCTCTTGTCATGGAGAAACCTCTTCCCCAGAGGGCCGGTCCACGTGGCTGGGGTGAGCAGGGTCCCATGGGACAGAGAAGAGAGGCAGCCACGGGGAGGGTGAGCAAACAGGGTGACGGGGAAGGCGGTCACTGCTGAGCCCGATGTGGAAGGATTAGGGGGACATGAGGCTCTGTGGGTGTGGCCCCTAGTCGCTGAGAGTCCACTGTGCAGCTTCATTGGAATTTTAGTACATGGATTTGGGGGTGACTCTAGCAATAGGCATGTGTGTGTCGGAGATTGTGAGACGGGCACAGGATAGGACAGTGTTCAGATCGGTTGTTCATAGGGCAGCTGTGAGCTGAACTCGACAACAGCTAATGACCATAATTTATGCACGACTTCAGCATTTCTGTGTCACTGGGTGACTCCGTGCCCCTGACAACAGGCAGGCTGTCCCTCGGTCTTGCAGTGGCTTGTCCTTCAGTCCCAAAGCTCCAATAATCATCTGCGATTATCAATGTGCAGTGCTAAGATGACCACCTCAAATCCACTCACGTGGAAGGTCTTCCTGCCAGAACGGAGGTGACCTCGCCCAGCGCGTGCATGCACTTAAACTTCACCACTTCCTGGCCCTGGATGATCCCGGGGATATGACACACTGGCATTTGACTCACCAGCAGTGAGTAACCTAGGGCAGACCCCAGGGTGCTGTCCAGTTGGGCCAGCGGGCAGTGAAATGAGAGAAGCTGTATCCCTTCTCGGGAGTCGTGAGCTACTGTCAGGGCACTGAGGTGGGGGTACAGTATCTGGAGATCAGAGACATTTTGGAATTTCTTCTGTCCCTCTCCCCTAAAGAGGTCATTGCCAGTGGATTCAGGGATACTCCGTGAGCCCAGAAGCGCTGCACCAGAGCACCCAGTCTGCTGTTTTCCATCTACGAAGACAAAGAATTGTCGCTCCGATATATTGCTCTCTTCCTTGCTTTCTGGAAATTGAAAAGTAATTAGCCAGATGAAATGCTGAGACTTGATGGAGGTTTCTGAAGGGATAGTGTTCTGTGCTCCTTTTCCATGGCCTGAGATCACACATTGATTCCACACTCCTCCGGCAGACGGACCCGAGTCCTCGGCGACCACTCCGGTCATGGTGAGGAGTAGGGCCCCTGTCCCCGCGGCGGCAGTGGTGCAGGGCTTCCCGTTGAAGAAGGCGTGCGCCCTGCAAGGGGACCGTGGTTTGTGCAGTCTGCTCGGTCCCCACTCCTGGTGGGCTTTCTC